TCTAACGTAGAATCCGGCTGGCTGTTGTACGGATTTCTTGAGCCCAGAGGTTTCTTGTCGCCGCCGGCCGCCGCTGAACTAGGCCGAGGACCAGGACTAGAGGCGTCGTATGATGGCGGTGGCCCGCTGGGTGGTCTCTGCGAGTCTTCCTGGTAAGTTGGACCCTCGGGACGTTCCCATTGTGATCTGCCGGTGCGTAGATCTACATAGAACCTTTGACACTGGGCGTTAGTTTCTTTCGGCTTGCAGGATGAATATGTTTTCGCGACTGGGGTATGATGGCGGAGATGTGAAATAAGGTCTTACCATTGCTTATATCGGTCGTCGAACTGGGCTTTCCATCCTTCAGGTACTGAAGGAGGCGGGGGCCCGGAGGGAGGAGCAAATGACATCTGTGGTGGTGTGACGATCAGATATGCGAAGACGGGGGCCGGGAATGGATCGGCTAAGGCTTAAGCACTGCCAAGACAGTTGAAGTAGCAAGTTTATAATGGCCAAAGAGCTGGGATTCGAGAGAGAGATATATGTAGTACCGACTACAATCTAAGGTACGGATATCGAAGTAAAGCCCACCCAGCAATGCCCCGTGGCGCTGCTCAGCCACGTGATGTAATTGGCCGGCACACCGTTGACATCATTCATCCTGGAGGAATGACTTTCCTGCCGCAGGAGTTATTTGATAGGATCAGCGGTCTCCCAACCAATTTCGTCAGGCTCCAGTCTAAATACCGTCAACATCTCGGATGTTAGCATCGATGGCACTGCTGGGCGGCCACCAGAAGTCTTCCTCGAGTGCCTCTTCTACCTCCTGTAGGGCCGTTTGAACTTCGGCAAAATGGATGACATTCGAGCCGGACCTCCATTCCGCGTTCCTAACTGGATCAATGAGCCCAATATTCGGTGGCATAGAAACTGGTGGTGATACAACATGATGCAACCTGCGCTTGTAGTTATCGGGTACATCGCTAACGGGATCGACGGCATCTGTCCCGGCATATGCAAGAGGCTCTGTAAGCCCATCCAGTGTTCTCTTGTTCTGATTGCGCCGCCGATTCCGAATATGTGCCAGCTTAATCTGCGCCTTAACATCCTGCTGGGTGGCTGTATCTAGCCCGATCCTGCAATCGGGGGGCGGACCATCGAGTTGCCGTAGCTGCACCTCTTCTTTCAGTCGGGTTTGTGCAATCTCATGCTCAGGGGTGTTTTCCGGACGAGCCCAGGCTGCAAAGGGACCATCATAAAATGGTCCTTGTCCAACTCCGTATGTTGGGTGTCTGATGAGCTTCCCTGACTCCAGAAGTTCTGCGCCCGCCTTAATCCCTGATTCAGGATTAGATACATGCCCATCAGGACACATCTGCAGTTGAGGTTGTAATGAAGGCTTGAATTTCATAGAAAGGCCCTCGTTGCTTGTAAACGGGCCGGGGGATAGAAGATGGACACCCCCAGCAGCATCGCCGACCAGCAGATTGGACTTATCTTCGGAGAAGGCACCGCACATGATTTCCTCGTCAAATCTGGCCGTATCATGAACGAGCACATCTTCCGGGGCTCTAAGGATATCCCATCTCTTCAACACGCCGTCAGAAGACCCAGTGTAGAATTCGTCAATCCTATCACCCCATAGAGACAAACGAACGCCAACATCAGCTTGCTCCCTGCTGATTGTTTCATCTATCTGATTCAGAGGCTCTCCGTGTTGGAGCTTGTGAAGAATTCGGTCTGGGCGACGATGGTCCCAAACATAGGTAATTCCATCAGTGCAACTGGCTGTCACGTAACTCGGGTTCATAGGGCAAATATAGGCGTCGTTAATATCTAGCGCCGGACACTCAAACTCCATGGTGCAGACTTTTGATGATAAGGGCTGATACATTCGGACTAAGGACCTGGTATCCTTGTAGGCCTTGTTGACAGGGCCATGACCTATCGATGTTGCTGCTGCAAAGATTGGCAAGGTGGGATGCCATTTAATGTCAAACATGTTCTGAGAGTTTGGGGAAAATTGCATAGGTAATATTGATGCCTCGCCTATTCGCCACCCTGCCAACAGACCCGTCTGCAGTGTCCCATCACCCTTTTCGCACATCCCGGCAAGCAGAATGTTTCCGGTTTCCTTAATGGTCCCCCATGCTAAAGAAGTAGGTACCAGTTCTCTGTCCTTTCTGGATCGCGCCCTAGGAAGCTCTAGGAGAGTGTGGGTTGACTCTGCTAATGACCAAAGACCTATTGAACGTGTGCCTGTTGCGAGCAAATTCCGCTCATAATGGGAGCGAGCCATAACTTCCACTTTAGAATCATGCTGAAGCGTCTTGCGGCATGATATATCTCGACCGGAAGCATTCCATATCTTCACTGTATTATCGTAGCTAGCAGTAAAGAGTGCATCTTCCCACCACTCGATGGAAGTCACGCTCATCCAGAGACGAGGATCATGAAGAGTCCGGCTTGCTGCGCTCCTCCCTGGGGGCCGAAGAACATAGTGGTCTGGTAATTCCATCAACTCATTGTTGACAATATCACCAACAATTAGATTGTTATTTCGGTTATATTCCATATTATGCTCGTCGCATTGTGCTGTCGCGCCGGCAGCAAATTTTGTGCCATCAGGTGCCCAAGCCAGGACAATCACATCATTCGAGGCATCTTTCCAAGTTTTCGCAAGCTTAAAACCTTTGTTGGTATTTGACTGAAGCTGTCGTTTTACACGAAGCCCTAGCTCACGGCGCTGCAAGATTTTATTCAAAGACCCGCTTATCTCGGCGCATCGAGACCCCGATGCAGTAGCCTCTATGACACAGGGGTTGGATGGAAGGCAGCCTCTTTTTGCATCAACGATAAAGGCGTCTATCTCAGTAGGTCCACGTCGGCTGAGCACCAGAGCGGAGGGTAGAACCCTGGACAACTCCCAGAGCTGATTCCCAGAGAAGAGCAATGGACTATCTTGAGACGTGTCCTGGACTAAGCCCAGAATTTTTCCTACCAGGCTTCTGGCTTGCCGTTTTCGCTTGTCTTTTGAGTTAGGTGCCATCGCTTCTGAAAGCCACTCATGACTAGCATCTATTCCAACGATTTCCTCGGTAGAGATGATCTGCGAAAGCTCACATACCCACCTAATCTTCTTCGAGGCCCTCTGCGAGATATCACAATCATGAGCAGCCTGGATAAGCTGGTCCGAAAGCGCGGTGTCCATCTCCTCGTGTCGCTGAAAGCCGCAAAAGCAAAAAAAGTCCATGATGGCTGCCATTTCGGTTCTGTCAAAGTCAATATGGAGAATCTCATCCACCAGCGGTGGCCTGTTCTGATACTTCAAGGCGTACTCTCCCGGGCTACGCAATGATAAATAGCAAGCACGACCAGATAATCTCAAATCATTTAGACTTCTAAACGGCGACTTGATAATTTGGACATGAGGTGAAGAATAGATGACACGGGCCTGTCCATCTCGATCACGAACACATGACGAAGTATTCGGTTGAGGTGCAATGCTAGAGAACCTGGGTCGTCGGGATGTGGTAGGAGACGGCCTGGCAGGGCTTTCGCTCACATCCTCATCGGAGCCGAAACCCAAATAGTTGGTCTTGTCGTAATAGTTGTTTGGCCCAGACCTTGCACGCCGAGAGCGTCGGTTACTCGACATCTCACGCCCATCTCCTGGTGACGATGCAGTATCCGGCCTATCCTGTTCGGAAAAATACAAGGGGTCTGGTGTTTGCGGTGTGCTGGATGTGATGCGGTTCTCGCCAGTGATCGCTGGTGATGATCTAGGTTCAACGCGCGTTTTAGGCGTCTTAGGCGGCCTACCGCGCTTCTTGACGCTTCCCCGAATATCTTCCCCGGTCCTAGAGCATTCTTTCGGGGCAGTATTTTGATCGCCGCGACTTGCCGCTGGGGACCCTCGATTTTGGTGGGAGGAGTTTCTTATAAACTGTGAAAGGAGGAACTGAGCTTCCTCAATAACAGCAAGTTCTTCGGATTCCTCTGGCGTATGTATACGGGACATTGTGCGCGGATAACTTGTCTCCCACTAGGTATCCCAAACCAAGACAACTGAGCTTGCCGGCGCATGTCGACCAATTGCTCAGTGAATGAGTGCCAGCACTGGAGGTGAATCAGACTGGGAGATGGTTTCGAAGGGGACCTGCTGTAGCGCCAATATAAAAGCTCAAGTCAGCACCGGTTAATGGCTTCAATTTAACTCAAAATGGATTTTTGACAGCCTGGCGGGGAACAAACACTATATGAGGGGAAGGATTAGAACTCTACCCAGTATGGATACATAAGTCCAGCAAGAGTTTCGCACAGCTTCGAATAGTCATCACTCATCCAGACCTCACTTGGGCCTCGCCTGAGCCACAATGTTGAGGGCAGCAGCAGAACAATACTATATATCCTGCGCGTCGACTGCGACGCGCGAACGCGCTGGATAAAGTGCTCTATATTCTTGTAAAAGGCAGGCGGTCGGGTCTCACGGATCAGGCGCACTAGGGCCAATCATGTAATCGAGCCGCGGCTCCTTATCGAGTAGTAGTAACTACTATCTAATACCGTAGCTTCATACCAGGCTAGTAAGAGGCTCAAAGTAGTAGTCTATTATATTTTCCTCTACCAGTTCTACTCTTTATGGTCTCTACAGGGTTGACGGAACTTTTCACTGGGAGAGGTGCCTACAGTCACTACGGTGGGATGCCATGATCACCTATACATCATCACCAAATCAATCCGTTGGTGCGATAGCAAAGGGACCAGGCCCAGTCAGAGAAAGGCTTAGTCCTGCATGGATGCAAGCCTAGACATATCAATTTCTAGGATCGCCCAGTAAGCAGTAATCGTGCCGAAGCAAATAAAACAACATATATGTACAGAATATATTCAGATCAATGAAAGAAATACAGGGGGCCGAGGTACACGATGAGGGGATCAATCAGTAGGACTTTCTGGGCCCAAGTAACATTTATCATTTGGCAAGGGTGCTTTAAGGAGTTTCTTTCAGATCACATGTTTCACTTGGAAATTGCCCGGTTCCTCTTACGAAGAGAGACCATAAGGTCATAAAGAACGTCCTTGAACCCAAACAAGAAAGCTGCGGTAATGGCGCTCTGTGTGACCTTTGGCCCAATGCCTGTCATATGATATTAGCATAAGTTTGCATGGCTCCCCCATTGTCAGTACTATACCTCTGTAAAGGCCCACAAAACCCTCTTCCTTGACGATTCTCTTCAGGCTCCCGTTCAGACTCTCCTTAGGGCCATCTTTACTAGCGACATGCATGCGGCTCTTCACTGTAATATAGGGATAGGTGATCGAAGTTGCCAGTATCTTACCAAGCGCCCCAAGATAGAACGCATCCTTTGGCGTCATACGCCTACGACGCTCCACAATATTCTTCAGCTGTTCAAAGATTGTGTACTGTAGAATCGGGTTGATAACCAGAATGAGGGCTGGCAAAACACCAGCAAAGAGAGCCTTGGGCCCCTCTTGCCGGAGCAAGTCCAACAATGTACTAATTGTAGAGGCCCGCGACTTCTTGGGAGGAGTCCCTGGCAATGTTTCTTGCTCCGACTCGGACTTGCGGGCTGTCATTCTGGTGTTTACAACCCATATAGGGTTTGTGATCAGGACCGTCGCACTCCCGGCGATAGCGCCCGCGATCATTGACTCCGCCGTCGTGAGCTTCTTTGAGGACCGCCCCGCCCGCGCAGCCGCCTTTTCGAAAGCCGAACGCGTCCATTCGTACCAATAGTAGTAGACGAAGTTCGTGACGCTGATGCCAAAGAGCGCAGATTCAAGACCGGAATAGAGCCCAGAAACCCCCTCTCGTTGAATGATGCGGCGTATTGCGTCGTACGTCGTGGAATGGGCACGCTTGGATTCGACTTGCGCTCTCGTGGAGAGGGTTATCAGGGGATAACTACAACATATGGGATGTCAACGCTGATTCCATTAACGGGAGGTGTTGCCGCACGTCAAGAGCATTGACAGTATACCGCCTCCAGCGCCCGCCAATGCATGTGCCATGTTGTCACTCTGCTGGACCGCAGCAGACACTGCAATAGCCTTCTTTTGCCCTTCAATGTTAGACTGAGACATGATCGATAACGCGGTGATTTTCTTTGTCTATCGGAATAGGTGCGTCAAGAAAGCTGATCGATATTATACTATGATGGTGCACGCGAATCGGGTATCGGTACCTCGGATCCTTATAGATGGGTTACGGATTGCTTTGACAAGTGAGTGTGAAAAAGACGGCAGATTGGGAACTAGTGGTATTTCAATAAATCTGCCCGAGAAGGTCGCAAGGAATGACTGCAAGAAAGGAGGAAAGGGGTTAGATATGTAGGCCTTGGGACGAATGGGGTAGGGACTATGTCGATGTCGGGTGCGAGAAAGACTCGGCTCTGGATTGGGGGTGATGGTTTACATGACGTTTGCCGAAGCCTGTGCCTCGGCTGATGGGTGACCCTCATCAGCTGATCGGATCAACACTCATGCCATATGAAATTTGGCTAACTTCCTGAGGCTTCTCCATACTCCTAGATGATTACTGGGGAGAAAAGCATAATTATGAATTAAGGAGGTGATATTTGCCGGTAAATAGCAGATCCACTTCACGTGTTTCATATACCGTTGTAATATCCATCCTCCACATTTCTCTCTTTCCCTTTGATACAACAACAGGTGATTGACATTAGAGTCCATTGCTTTCCTTCTAAGCGATTCGTGTCAGTATCTACCATCTGAACAATAATTACATATAGGGTCAGAGCCTGGTCACAGTTGAAGAGTGTGGGAGGGACTACCTAGGCATGAAAGCATCAGGAACTGCTAGGAAGGGTATGTATGGCATGTGACATTCCTGCGCAGAGCAAGTATGGTTTATGAAAACCTCGCACATGGAATATAGCCTACACGCGACAAACAACCCTTGTTCACTTTTCAATATCAATACAAATTTAGACCCGAAACATAGTTGCTATTAGTGAAAGAGCAGCGTGCTAACAATGACTCTACGTAGCCTAACAACCTATATTTCACTATACCGTTACAGTCAAAGTAAATGAAGGCGGAAAAGCGAGTATGTTCTGATTTTGATTTGCCACGAACCATATTCACTTAAGTATCATTAACTTCTGCATTAATTGACCCAGACATAATCACGCAACGGATCCAACTAACTAAGAAAAACTCAACGGATCAGATAGAAAATGCTTCGAGTTAGAAAGGCCACGAGCAAGACAACAGCGACGGGAAAGATAGGGAAGGGGAAGATAGATGACCGAGAGGAGGAAAGGGAAAACCTGAGGACACAGAAAATTATCCATAGTGCACCATGTATAAAGTCGAAACGAAAGCCTTCTAAAGCATGAAAAAGAAAACTACTCCCGGTGACCATTGCCAGCATAGAACATTTAAGATAATGCTAGCATTCGAGGAAGACTGCCCGGCAGCAGGGTGCAATAGGTAGCCTCCCTCGTGGCTCCTCTTCTTTAATCACCAAATTTTCACCCCGTCTCAAGATGGCGTAATGCAACGCGGGATCAGGATCATCAATAGTCTAGCAGCAGCCGCCCGCGGAGCCGGATTGAACGCCCTGGCCTTGGCCAACCTGCACAGTTGGCTTGTTGTTGACAGTCGCGGTGCCCATGCGTTCCTTGATCTGTCTCGCCATCGTCAAGAAAGCCTGCTCTACATTCGAAGCGTTCTTTGCCGAGGTCTCCAAGAACGGGATTCCAAGGCTGTCGGCGAATTCCTACACAAACACATTGTGTCAATCACCCACTCTGCCAGAACATGGAAGAGTCCCACACAAAGGCATGGCCACATACCTTAGCCACTGTGTATTCAACGACCTTCTTGTCCTCCATATCGCTCTTGTTTCCGACAAGGAGCTTGTTGACGCCTTCAGTGGCGTAGCGATCAATCTCTTGAAGCCACTGCTTCACATTGTTGAAAGAGTCCATGTCGGTAACATCGTAGACGACACAGATACCATGAGCACCACGGTAGTAAGAAGAAGTGATTGTCCGGAAACGTTCCTGGCCCGCAGTATCCCACTAGAGCGCCCGTTAGTAAAGCCCGGTGACCGACTGTTGTGAATGGGGGCTGCCTTACGATCTGGAGTTTCACCGTCTTTCCATCCAGCTCGATGGTACGGATTTTCTGCATTCAAGAACGTTAGATGAGAATCTATGACGCAGCCCACTGCTAGCAGCTATGATGAGAAGTGGAAGGCCAGATACGTACGAAGTCAACTCCGATGGTGGAGATGTAGCTCTCCGTGTAGGTATCGTCGGCAAAACGGAGGAGCAAGCACGACTTTCCAACACCAGAGTCTCCGATGAGGAGCAGCTTGAAGAGATAATCGTATCTAGCCAAACTATTAGCATATCGATCGATCGATACGCACGCAGAGGGCCGCGCTGAGCCAAATAAGGCGTGGGGGAAACGGAGGATCGTGGGGGGCTCTAACAGGGGTTCAAATTAGCACGGAAACCAAGAGATAAAGAAGATATGGATGAAAAGACGCAGTGCCATCATGACAAGGGGGCATCGCCGGAACCTGATGAGTTGTAGGCCAAATATGGGCGATCAAGGGCACTTACCACTCGGGATTCATGATGGGGCACTTGGACGGTACGTCAGCGTATGCGAAATCTAGAGAGTTATTTGATGGAAAGGTGGAGAGCTGAAGTTGCAGAAGAGTAGTATTAGGCGTGGCAACAAGCCGATGTAGTAAACGATACTTGAGTGTCTACTTAATGAGATGACCGAGCGGTCTCTTGAAATGGCGGTTGCGTTGCTGACTGCAGGAGAGCAGGCGAGCCCAACGTGCAGGTTCCAATACTGGCGCTAGTCCGTCTCCTGCCTAGTGTGGACCTCCTGGGTGGGAATGACCGTTTCACGCTCGCCCGCCCCAGACCCATGACCCAAGCCAGGCTAGTGCGCCAATCAAGAGACACTAACAACCACATGCAAATGAACAGATTCTAGGGACGGGCCTATCTAGGAGATGGTACTTACAGTAGTGCGACTTAAGTTGCACAATGTGCACTCCGGTTCTAAACAGGTTTAGGTGGCTCGGTACCGCCCTTTTTCTTCAGCCTTTTCCCCAGGTAACATACCTTCGGTCCTCCCGATAGAACAATGCAAAATGAAAAGGTACTTATTTACGTCTGCTAGCTATATATATATACGTACTACCAAGAGCCGGCCCCTCTCCCGTCACATGTGCAAGTCAGGGAGACATCGAATACTACCATAGTATAACGAAGTGCTCCACCTTCACTTCCTCAGACGAAAGACAGTCCATCACGCATCAAGACAGGTACAAGTCAGGAGTTCTAGTTCTACAAAGCTCTGAATTCAGATGATTCACAGAATGGCAGGTGTTTTAAATCACAAGGCACCATATTCACCTAGTGGTACAAACAGATTATCAAAACCATTTACCTTTGTCCAAAGTGGATCAAGCGTAGCCATGGGCCTGGAGCCATTCCAAGACCTGCTTCTCGTCTCTTTCCTTGTAGCGTGCATTCGTCCGGATGCTATCAGCGACAATTACCAGGGCGCGATCGTACGCGCCGGTGTCCTTCTCCCGGAAAAATGAAGCAATATCGGCTGCAATATCGTGGTCTGCGAATTTGGACAGTCCCATGCGCACAAACCGCTCGAAAACGACATTGTTCGCCGACAAACGAGTTTCAACTGCCGACCAGTTCTCTTTCATATAATCCCATAGAAGGTGGCGAGTTAAGGGATTCGTAGCCATTGAAGTCGCGCCATTATGAATATCTTGGATTGCAACCTTGTCTGAGAAGACGAAGTCCATATAATCCTTTACCAGCTCAGCATCTTTAGTACGCCCAAGGGCTCCTAGGCAAATCTCTTTGCCGTCAACGGAGTCGGTTTTGAGGTACTCTTGCTTTACGGCGTTATATTCTTCCCGACCGCCCTCCGAGATTACGATACTAAAGATCACTGAGCGTAGGTTGGTATGCACAGCGTTCTTATCGTTGCCTGTTTTCCAAAGCTCGAATCGTCGTTTGGCCTCGGGTATGATGCTAGCAAAAAGTTAGACCTTGAACAAAACGTCTCCTGGTTGACATACTCTTTGTGGCCCGCACGGCCAGCCATCCCAATTAGAAGCTTACGAAGTTGGACAGTGAGATAGTCATCCTCCGAGCTGAATTCCCAACCGATTTCATTAGCGGCAGGGGATGAGAGCTCGAGGGCAAACCTCTTGAGTCCCGCTGCTACCGACTCATTCAGGGCGAACACAGAGCGTAAGTTCGCAACGGTGGAAGAGATTTGGGACCAGACCCTATGGAAGTCGTTAAGAACCAAGCATGAAGTGTAGGAATTGCCGAATCTTGGGAAGGGTAAAGAATGTCATAGTTAGATACTCACAGATAATTCTTTTCGCCCTTAAACCCCTCTAAGAGAGCCAATAGAGCAGCAGTAGATCCGTCCCCGGAAACAGCCAGGGCAGCGGCATCGCCAATCAATCCGATCTTATCCTCGGTGCTCAGCAGATCCAGAGATTGAGCGAGTTTCGCCAGCCGATCGGCAGGGTAATTGGTTCGGTAAAAGCCGGACAGGTCTTTGTTCAGCTTGTAAAAGGAATCTTTTCCGAGTTCTCCAATTGTAGCTTCCTTGGAAACGAGAGCACCGGGCTTTACGTCGGCCATCTTAGGTCCTGATTTGACACCAAGGGGAATCCACCAAGCCGTCTCATCTTCCTCGGGCTTAACATCACCCGTCGACAAGAAGCGGTTCTGACGAACATTGAGCTGCCCGGCTTGCTCGGTCACGGTGACGACAGGGAAGCCAATCTTGCGAATCCATGGATCCTTCATGATGCAGTCAGATCAGTAGTCCACTTTTTAAAAGAAAGGCAGCTCACCATAAAGCTAGTAACATCCTGATTGGACGCTTCGCTGAGAGCGCTCCAAAGATCATTAGTGGTAGCATTGCCTGGATTTGTCAGTGATTAGCAACCCCGATCCCCTATGGTCTTCGATGTGTACTTACCATATGCATGGGCTTTGAGATAAGTGGCTACTCCCCGCAGAAATGTTTCCCGTCCAAGATGATCGCTTAGCATACGGATGACCGAGCTTCCCTTGAGGTAGCTGATGTGATCGAAGATTTGATCGACTTCAAGAGCGTTCCTCACAGGAACCTCAATCGGGTGGGAAGCTCGCAGTGAATCGAGTTGAAATGCTTGTTGGACACTCTCAGCCTATGCAAAAGTTAATAATCTACCACACAAGGCTGAATTTACCTCGAGAATTGCGTACAACAAACTGAGACCATATGTTCCACTCTGTTCGCGAGAAAATTGTCAGCTGCATTTGGTCTGTAAGCGCCCGGGTCCATTGAATACCTGGATAGAAATGATCCACAGCAAGCCAGCCAACCCATGTTGCAAAGCCTTCATTGAGCCACAACTCATTCCACCAATCCATCGTTACGAGATTTCCAAACCATTGGTGCGCCAATTCTAGGATTATCACTCGTTAAAAGAGAACAATGCTGCTCAAATTGCAAGGAAAGACAAACCATGCGCGACGACATATGCAATACGATTCTTGTATCTGGTGTCTGACTTGCCCTCGTCGAAAAGTACAGCAGTCGTTCGGTAGGTAACAAGTCCCCAGTTCTCCATGGCGCCCATAGCCTGAAGCATTTATCGTTAGTGGTTTCGACTCGTGAGAAACAGGATCAATTTCCGTACAAACTCGTGGACAGCAAGGAGATCCGCCTTAGGCAACGGATACTCGATCTCAAAGATTTCAGAGAAGTAATCGACCGTACGATGGGCACACTCCAAAGCAAAGCGAGCCTGCTCC